TCTCTCCATCTCTCCCTAGTAAAACATGTCTAGGCTAATTCCTTATGAAATGGATATTATGGAGCCACAGGGCTTTCTTCTTCATCTCCCGTGAATTTTTGATGCGTTTGGAGCATTCTTCACTGACTTGAATTTATTACTGTGGGGGCTTGTATCTTGATGAGTGCTGGATTTGATAGTTTGTCCTTGCTGTGCATTTGTTGCTTCTCCAGGGATACTTGCTTGTTGCTTCTCCAGGGAGGAGAATTTGAGGGAAGATGGAAACTGTTGAAATCGATCTAACGCTCCTCTGTCTGTCTTGAACAAGACTGGGCCATTTTATGTGTGCTCTTGTTGTACCTGACAGTGTCTTTACTTGTCAGATTTGTTGGGGTTAATAGAAGGCTTAGCCACTACAGCTAGCAGCTTTTTTTTGTTTTTCTTTCCGCGTTGCTTGAAATTATCATTGACTTTCACAATCAAGTTAAGCTAAAGCACTTACTGGCTTTGAGGAACTTAAATTAGTTAATTGGCTGCTTTGATAACCCCACCCTGAATTGTCTGCTATCCAAGACAGGCTTTTAATATTCCTTTGTGATCTCGGAGCTGCGGTATGGACATCGTATGTGGTTCTGGCTTGATAGGAACCAGGTATGAAAATCAACTCTTATTTTTGGGGGGGAGTATTAGGTTATACTCCTTGCCTCCGCAGGGCTGTAACTACCGCTGATATGATTCCTACCCAAATACCCATTCTCAGCAGTGAGAGAACTAAGACGCTCTTTGGAGGAAGATGCCAAGAAATCCAATCTGGCAGGGAAGGAAACATTCTGCAAATCTAGTTCTGCAATTTCGGGTTGTTTCTTTAAAAACTAGGAGTGAGGCACGGCTTCATGCCAGATAAGATCCTTTCAGCTCTTGAATTTGGGATAAGAATGGGCTGAGGGTAATCCATCAAGCCTTAGAGTCGCCATTGATACGTCAGATGGTACTGCTGAATATGGCATTGTCAGCTGTGAAGAATACATTGTGTCTCGGTTGGTAATGCATAGTCTGATCTGCAAGCCAGAACTGGGCTTTGTTATTTAGAGATCCTATTCTTCTTTGCTCTAGAATGGATTAAATATTTAGTCCTGACTGAGGAGTCACCTCGGAATATGGGAAATTGGCTCTGTCGTTAGGTAATTGCATTTTTTTTTTTTTTTCCGGGCATTTAAGAAGAATGTACTTCTTACCTCCGCCTGTTACTTATCACAAAATTTCTCAGGGTATTGTTTTTGAAAAGGGAAGCAACTAGAGGCCAAATAATACAGGCTGGTGTTAGATGGTTTGTTTGGGGTTTTGGTTTTTTTTTTTATTTCTCATTTATTAAGTGAATTTAATAGGACATTTGGGAATTGTGTTACTACTCCTCCCTCCGTGCATCCCAGCGATACAGAATGGAACTGCAGAGTGCCAAAATCTTAGTCATTTTTCCAGTTTTCTTGAACAGGTCAAAGGCTGAATATAGTGGTGCTTGCTGTATGAGTAGGTAGAAATGTCACATTTGCTGTATAATTACAGAAAATTGGCTTGGAGTTCTTTGTTAGGCTGAGACCGTTTTCATGCTCTCCTGGCCCATACGCAGAAGGTAATTCATGGACAAAGAGTGTTCATAAATGAGAGTACTTCTTCCATATTCCCCTGCAGTTGTCAAAGAGTTTTGCCCAAGTGTGTGTGAGAAACAGCAGCCTGCGGGCCTTTTTTATTATTCTTTATAGTGGAAGATACCGTGGCTGACCGTCATGCAGATGAGAGTGGCAGAAAGCCCGTTGTGCATTGCACGGTCCTTTCCGCATTGGTACAGTCGAAGGAGATTGAGCAGGCAGCAGTTGTAATCTGTTCATTTTGACGCTGCCCTCTAAATACCAGCTTGTCCTCTACGTACCAGGTTGAAAAGTAACACCAACCTGAGCCAGTTCCAGCTGCGAGTCAGAATTAGGCAACTGGCGAATTACGATGCGACCTGTCTTCAAACGATACCTGGCTCTCGACATCCTTACCGCAGGCCATGGAGGTTGTGTTTCAGTATTTCCCTGTATGTGTTACGGAACCCAAATTCGTTCTGTGTCTGGTCCGTTTGGCTTCTGAAAGAGGTTTCACTGAGGTTCAGCTGTTTCTTCTGTGGTTTGGAGGAAGAAGTTTCAAAAATAAGTGTCACTAATAATTATTCTTACCTTTTTTTTTTTCCTGTGCTCTGCATGAGCATGCTGTTACTTTTGCTGGAGAGGGAGATAGGATCAGCAACCTGGTTTTTTTGCTCTTCCTTACCTGAGTATCCCCAGTCAGACAAGTGTTGGGTCTGCCATAGTACAACACAACTCTTTTGCCTTCCCTAAAACCTCTATGGTTTCACCGCTGGCCAGCTTTCAGGTGAGCCCTCATAATACGTCCTCGTAACTTCAGTTTTCTCTCGCTGAGCAGCTTCTTGGAGAATCTCTTCCACGTGGCCGTATTACAGAGCCTTTCTCTTAAATGCTTGCTTGCTTTTCTGGAGCCAGTTGCTGTATATCTTCATTACAGCAGCTCTGCAGTCAGAGCTTTCAGCAAAACATGGTGGTGGATCTTGGTGATGCTCTAATGAGCATGACCGTTGGGTCATTTCTCTTTGGATTTGGTAGCTCAATTGGAAATTCCAGATTCTGGCAGTACCGTTGATCGTGTGTTGCTGACTTCTGATTCATTGCTGAAACTTCCCCTGACTACATGTAGAGAATTAGAAGCCTTCTAAAAAGTAGCGCCCAAACCCATTGATGGTCTGCAAGAAGATTAATGAAGTTGTGACTGCCTGGAAAGCGTGAGTTTGTGATGGGGGTCAGAGGGGCTTAGCTGTGCTTGCTGCTGTGCTTGCTGCTGCCAGAGTGGGAGATCCCATTCCTCCCTCCTCTTCCCTTGCACTGGTTTTGGGTTCTTGCAGGATTGTGCAGTTGGCCGATTTATTTCTGAGCCCAGCAAAAACCAGTGTACTCCATTTTTCTGGTTTAGCTTTCTGTCAGATTAGGGGTGCAAATCGTCTCCCTGTACGTTCGGGTTTGGGCCAGAGCTGGAGCAGTGGCGGTGTTAGAGCCCGAGAGAAGTGGCACCTGCCCCTCACCACATCAGCGGGCTGTTAGATCTCCCCGTTCGTGTAGAGTAACTATGTCTGGAATTGTTACCGCATTAAATTTAACTTGATCTTGCTTGGGCTGTTGCTCAAAATAAAGGCTTTCCCCTGCAGTGCTGGATACGACCACGATGCATGCGAGAGGTGAGCTAGAGCAGCTTCCTCGCCAGGTGAAACCGCTGGTGCCAGCATGGGGAAGGAGGCTGCAACGTGAGGTGGGCGTGACGTTCCTCTGTCTGGGGGCAGTGGGATTTTTATTATTGTTGGGTTTGGTTCTTTTTTTTTTAATGAGCGATTTGAACTGATCATTAATACCCCCTTCCTGCAAGTGCCGTAGCCTGAGCAGCATTTCTCACCCGTTGGCGCAGGGGACCTGTGCTCAGCTAGCTGGTCCTACCTGCCACCGCTACCTGCTGCCTCGGGCGCTGCTTCTCACCTTCCTGCTTGGGCTGGTTTATCTCTAAAGACTGTGCTGGCAAACTTCTTTCCGGGGGGTTCTGTGAGCAATTTAGTACAAAACCATATTCCCAGCCTCTAACCGAGCCATCTCAATAAATTCAGGGAGAAGTCCCCAGGCGTTATTTCACGTTACTACCACCGGCTGGATCTAATGTGTAACTCGTGTGTTGTCAAAACCCCTCATTTAACCGTGAGGTGATATGTGTGGTTCAGGAGGGGGATGCAAATACCAAAGTCTGTTCAAAATCGTTATTGCTCGGTTTGTTTTCGATATAGAAGAATGACAAACGAAGTTGCTTTTGCCTCCATAGTGAGGAAACAGCACCAACTCCATGCCTTAATCTGGGCTTGGAATGCTGTGCTAGGACACTTGTATTCGGATTCAACAGGTATATGTAGTCTGTCGGTTTTTCTGTTGACACTGTATACTTTTGAGGGGAAAAAAAGTCTTAAAGTCTTTCCAAACTGTTACGTGATTGTTAGCGTCACTGAATCATGGCGTCAGACTGTCAGTGCTGCAGCTCTAACTAGAAGATATTCGTGCTTATAAAAGAGGGGGAAACAATCCGTGTGCTTCAGGAGAAGTATGGGACTGTGCTGGCTTTGGCTGGCGTACAGTTAATTTTCTTCGCAGTAGCTAGTGGCTGCGGTTGGGATTTGTGCCGGAAGCAGTGCTGATAACGCAGGGGTGTTTCAGTTGCTGCTGAGCAGTGCTGACACACAGCCAAAGCCTTTTCTGCTCCTCACCCCAGCAGCGAGCAGGCTGGGGGGCACGAGCGTTTGGGAGGGGACACGGCCAGGACAGCTGACCCCAACTGACCCAAGGGATGTCCCACACCGTATGGCGTCGTGCTCAGCGTATAGACCTGGGGGGCTTGGCTGGGGGGGCTGCTGCTCGGGGACTGGCGGGGCATCGGTCAGTTGGTGGTGAGCAGTTGTTTCATTCGCATCACTTGTCTTCCTTGGGTTTTATTTCTCTCTCTTTGTTATTTTCCTTATTAACTGTTCTTATCTCAACCTGCAAGTTTTCTGACTTTTACCCTTCCAATTCTCTTCCCCCCCATCCTGCTGGGGCGGGGAGTGAGCGAGCGGCTGGATGGGGCTGAGCTGCCGGCTGGGTTAAACCACGCTGGGGACATACAGTATTTATCGTTGCCCACTTTGGATTTGCAGTGTCATCTCGCATTTGAAGCTCAGGAGACTTTGCGCTCCTGTGTACCACTTTGCTGATGCCTGGAGACATTGTAGGTGAACCACTTAATACCTCTGCTTACTTTTCTATCTGTAACCTTAGAGACATTAATGCTCACAGAGCTGCAGTGAAGCAGGTGTTATAACATGCCTTTGAACAGGACCACACAAGAATTATAAGATGTTTAGTTCCTCTGTTGATTTTTTTTTTTCTTTTCTCCCCCCTCACAGATTCCAGAGACTTATTAAAGGAATTTCCACAGCCTAAAAACTTGCTCAACAGCGTGATTGGACGAGCCCTGGGCATTTCTCATGCAAGGGACAAGCTGGTGTACATCCATACTAATGGGCCAAGAAAAAAGGTAATCCTGTTGTTGTGCTGGGGATGGGTGGCGGGTAGGTAGGTTGCACATAGAGTGGGAAGTGAGCCAAGAACACTGCTAATCTTGGAAGTAACGCTTTAATAGAGAAAATTATAGAAACGTTTTAATTCCGCATAAAAGTTGCGTGCGTGATAATCTTTCAAACAAGAAATATTCTCACTTCTTCCTCTTTATTTTCACATACTTTAATGGGTGTAGAAGTGTCGGTCCTGTCCCTCTCCTTTTGTGTGTGGAAGGATGGATTTTTTTTTTCTTTTTAAGTAGCTTGCTGTAACCTGCTTTTCTCAGCAGAAAGACTCGTAGTCTGTGCTCAAATGTGTTGGGCTATGTACCCCACTACTTTAGAACATTAAAATTTAAATGCTGTATTTTAGGCCTTAGTAGGCCTAGATTTTCTTGTAGATTCTAATAGAGCAAATGCCTAAGCCTAAAATGTCCAGTTGCAAACAGAAAAGAATTCATTTGCGATGGAGGGAGGCTTGTAGTACGACTTACGGGCAAACTGAAATACAGACTCTTTTTTTTGTTAAATGAAGCAGAGGAATTCCAAGCAAGCAGTTTGCCAAGTAGTTTGAGCACTGACTGGGATGCGAGAGGCCTAGATCCAAATCTGTGCTATAAACTGAGCAGAAGTTAGTAACTGATGGGTGCTCTGTGTTCAAGGGTTTGCCTCCTCTTACCACAGCAGCTCTCATTCCTGAGCAGAAAGCCCTTTCCAGCTGAAGTTTAACTGTAACGTACATTCCAGGAAAAGATTCAGTTCTGATGGATTAACATTTTCCAATAACATTGTCTAAAATTTCCCAGATAGTTTTTATTACCGCATCCTTTTTAAGCATCCCTGCATTTTAGGCAATACATTAGTAATGGTTACTTTAGAGTTCCTTTATTATTTGTGGGTTTGTGTTTCTTGCTTTTCCTCAAGCAGTAGTGCAGTTTCCTGACTTAAATTTTGGAATGCCATAACCAATGCCTCATCGTTTTAGTTTGCGTAATCAGTTCACATTCTTGCTAGCACTTAAATAGATTAACATTGAGTGTAACTTCAGATTAAAAAAACACCAAACCAAAAAACCAAACAAACACCAAAAATCCCCCCAAAACAATAGAGGAGCTGTTGGAGAAAATGAGGGTTGGATACCAAAAAACCAAAACGCCAACCCAGAAAGTGTTTGGGGGCAGAAGGACAGGTGAGACAAACTGGAGAAGTCTCGGCTGGAAGAGGGCAGGGTTTTTTTTGTGAGCGCCAAGTAACTTGGCCTTCGTGAGACAACTTTTTTCTCACAGGTCTGTGCCTTTTCATGCAGAGCCCCTAGGCAAAATACGTAGCAATTTCCTACGGTAAGATGAGACTCAGATGGCAGGCAGGCAGCCAGCCAGATGTAGACTGTTGAAAAGTCGGGAGCCTTTTCTCTAGCCTTATAGGTGGGGTTTTCCCAGCGGACCTAAATGCCACCTTTCATCTTTGCTGCAGAAACGGGAGAATTCCTTAGGCATTTCCCTCCTTTGAGGCTTGCAGAAACTCAGCTGCAGCATCTGCAGGGCCAGGAGTAGAATGAGTTCTTGATTTGGAGCAGTGTTTTTAAAAAGGGCAGGGTTCAGCTTTCAGCATTCTTTGCCTTTGCAGGTTTTTCAGCTGCTCTCATCCAGCTGCACTGGTAGAAGAGGAGCTCTGGTGGCATTGTTACTTCTCTTAATAGCGTGTGTCGGGCAGCACTTACTGAAGGCTGGGTTCTCATGTGCCTGATGAGTACAGTAGCTGCCTGTGTAACTGATGAAATATGCTGCTAATTCAAATTACAGCAAGGAAGCAGTTAGGAAGATTTGCTTGCCGTTGCAACTGGAAGGGTGTCAGAGTGCGTGTTGCTTCTCGGGCCTGATCTGGTATGCTGCAGCATACATAGGAACAGTTACTCTGAAACGGAATTGTTCTTGTAATGAGCTCTTGGCATTTGATTCCTCTGAGCTGACACACTGCAGCCTGTGACGCTCCGGCCCAGAGTACGTGGCACTGTGCTGGAAGTCAGCCTGGCTTCTGGGCCTGGCTCAGCTGCGCAGCTTCTGTGTGACTCTGGGTACCTCGTATCCCTTTTTCAGGCTTTTCTTTCTAAGTTACTGGAATGGAGCTTCCCATAAAGGGACCGAACAAGGAGTTTGTTTGGGATTTTCATTTGTAGTTCCCTCCATGCCTGGAGGTCAGAGATGTTTGAAGTAGCTGCGCTCCTGGTGGAGAAGGGAGATTGTTCTGTGCTGTCACACTTTACTGGTTATCTTTGCTTTTCAGAAAGTCACTCTGCATATAAAGTGGCCTAAGAACGTGGAAGTGGAAGGCTATGGGACCAAGAAGATTGATGCCGAGAGGCAGGCAGCAGCTGCGGCATGTCAGCTCTTCAAGGTGAGCTTATGCTCCTCCTTAGCTTGAAGAAACAAGCCTTTGAGTGCGCAAGCCTTATCCGTTTTGGTGATATGATTTCTGAATTTATCTTTCTCTGCCTGTTCCCTTTCTTAGTTGGCCTATCTGTTAATCAAGGTTGGAGGGTGAAGTCTTGAGCTGCCTTAATGCATTTGAGCTTAAAAGCCCACTTGCTTCAGCCAGGCATGAATGCACTGAATTGTTCTGAGGCTCATGTTTCCTCTTCATGTAAGCCATGCAAGTACAGTAAAGTTATAAAGGTCACTATTTAAGATATGGCATTACATATCAGCTGTCTGAGAAAAAGATGCAGTTTTGTCTTCAGCTCTGCCACTGACTGTTGTCTGTAACCTTGAGCAAGTGAGTTTGCTTTTGGAGTTCCCCTTTCATCTGTGGAGTAGGAACAATGATATCTTCCTACTAAGGAGCCTAGAAAAGGTGCTGCAGGTGCTCTGACAATAAGAGAGCTTTTTGATTTGCTTGTAGATCAAGAAAGCTACATTAAGAAATAACTATTTAGGTTTTAAATTAAGCCTTCAGAAGTTGAGAATTGCAGCATCAAAACTAGCAGTTTCTTCAGCTGGCCTCTGTGCTTAGGCTAGTTTCTTTAATCCTGTGATTAGCAAAACTTGTTTCACTGACTGACTTCATTCCACCTGAAGCATGGTTGGTGCTCATTCAGTTCGCATTCACTGGAAATACAGTCTTGTTTTACCCTCACTAGTCAGTGTGCAACGGAAGCATTGTTTCCTCCTTTCTTTGAGAGCCTGGAAATTTTCAAAGGAAAAAAATTCCTACCTACACTTACAAGATATTTTTCACCAAATTTTGGAAATGGCTAACTGTACTTTAGAACTGAAAAAAAACCCCCAACCCAACCCCAGCCCCAAACCGCACCACCCTGAAACCATAGATTCAGCATGCAGAGCTTTAACTCTGGTGCTTTGCCAGCTAAGCCTGTAACCCAGCAGAAGTCCCTCATGATGGGAGGCCTTGTGCAATCGTAGCTATAGAAATAGCTACAAATGCTGCTTGAAATAAATAGTTGTCAGTTCAAGAAAAGTAGCGGCGTCTAATCGGCGCAGAGAGTGTCTGAATATAGTGACTTTGAGTACAGCAGCTAGCAAAGTGAATTCTTGCTGTCTTAGGCACTCCTACAGCACCAAATAAGACAGCCTTGTCTGATACGGGGCCATTGAGAGGCCTGCAGATGTAACTTTTAATTTATTGCAGCAGTCTGGTAAGACACGGCGTGTGTTGCAGCCTAGGTATGTCTGGAGCTTCATGTAAGGTTCAGTCCTAAATGTAGGTGGTAGGCCAGCAGTAACTAGGAACTCTTCTGTTTCAAAAACTGGGTTAGGGAGGTCTTAGTACTGCTTATGCAAATAACTGTTCCTGTGAAAAGAAAGGAGATGAACCATTCCCTGAATTCTCATCTTGTGTTATTCCAGATTATACTTGTTTAGACTAGCCTTTCCAAAAAGATGCGTTTCATGCTCTGAGGTAGGTTTCAAAATTTCAGAATGCTAAACAGAGTTAACAGTTTGTAAAATACCAATAAGTCTTGGCCCACCCTTTCTAACAAGCTATATGATGCTAAGCGATAGCGTTCTGGCAAGTGATGTTAGCGAACAGATTCCCTTCCTTAAATAATGGCAGGAGGAAAGCTTTACGTTTCTGAAAGTCTCTTCTCTGTCTCTCCTTTTCTGTGGGATATGAAGAAATTGCTCCTGCGTTTCTGTCCTTTACCAGATGTGTTTTGGTTTCCTGCAGAGTTACCCATATCTGTCTCTATTGCAGCCAACAACACATTTTTCTCTCGTAGGGCTGGGGTTTGCTGGGGCCCAGAAATGAGCTCTTTGATGCTGCAAAGTACCGGCTTCTCGCTGACCAGCTTGGCTGTCCCGACGAGAGGTGGTGCTCGGAGGGCAAGTGGCGCTCCAAGTCCGGACCTTCTCTCGCCGACTTGTCAACCTGCTGGCGACGGATGGAGCCGGACGATTCCATCCAGCCCATGGAACAGGGCAGGATGCCTAAAGCAATGAGGAGAGAGGAGCTGGAGGAAGGGGAGCTAGAGGAAGGGGAACTGGAGGAGGGAGAGCTGGAAGAAGAAGCAATCGACGTTTCTGATTATCTGCCTATGGCACATCAGGATGCTCGAACCCCAGGCAGAGACGCAAGGTACGTCTGCCCTGATAGCTGCTAATACAGGGCGGTAAAGCGGAGAATTTTCTTTGTAGCTGATGCACCCCTGCAGTTCCTCACAGTTGAGCTGCGGCTTCCCACGTTGCTGGTGTGGCCTGTAGGTGGGCCAAACACTGACTGCTGCAAACTCTCTATGCGAGCAGTAGCGGGGCAGCCTGGTCTTGTACCTGGCTGTCATCGCAAGGGAACGCGCAGGCACCTGCTCTGGAGTCTTGCCCTTCGGATAGGCTGCTGCCTCCTTGTTGCCTGCCTTGCTTATTCTTCTGTGCCTAAAGAGATTTCCATTTCCAGAAGTTGTGCATGTGCGCTTAGACCTTTTTTGACCACCCTGGTTTTGAGGGCAATATTAAATCTGCTCCTTTTCATCACCATAGTTGCTTGCTTCCCTTCATATTTTATGAGCACGAATTTTGGATTTTTAATAGTCAGCAGGAGTAAGATCTGTAAGGACCTGATGGTGGTGGTTGTTTTTAGGGACGTTCTTTGGATTCAGAATTACTTACTTATTAAATCTGTTAAAAATCTGTTGATGCTATCTGGTTTGTAGTGCTAGTGTAAAGGTTTGATTGCTTTTTAGCAGGTGGCTTTACTGGGCTGGGTGATTGTTCTGTGACTGACAGATTTTAGCAGCAAGATACAGCTTGACTTTTCAGATGACTAAAATTATCCGTGCCTTTAACTACTCAGTTTCAGACCTCAGTAGCAGACCTGAAGTGAGGTGGGTCTGAGCACAGAGCGGATATTTGTGTTTCAAACTGTTCTCATCTTCCATCTAGCCGAGGAGGGAGTTCCATTGAAATGACAGATGACAACACTGCCATCCGTGCCCTGACGCAGTTCCCACTTCCCAAAAATCTCCTGGCCCAAGTGATTCAGATTGCAACCTCTTCCTCTACAGTCAAGGTAAGGTGCTGTACAACCCCTGCCAGGGACGAAGCTCAAAGACTCCAACTGGAATCGCTTCGGATGCCTTTTTTGGGCAGCTGAGAACTGGGGAGAGAAGGGAAGTTAAAACTAGGCCTAGAAAAGACAGCCTGAAGAGCAAGGACAAGACTTTGAGAAATGAGGATATGTCTTAATAGAAACACGAGTAATGTTGTTACCTGAGGCCAGGGCAATAGAGGAGCTGCTGTCTGAATGAAGGAGGGTATTTACTAAGGTGATAGGTTTGCATTTCCCCATCTATCTGCAACAAACACAAGTTTGTGTTACTCGGAGCAATGTGTAATTTCTGTGCTGATGGAATCTTTCCACAACTTAATTCTTGCCAGCATCCGGTGATCCTCCTCCTTGGTATGTGTCACCCACCTCCTTCCAGTCCCCATGTGCTTAGCAAACAGTAGCTGTGCTCCAACCCCGTGGGCTCTCGGTGACGTTCTTCACAGAGCTGTCTGCTCTCACTTCTGCTTAGCCAGTGCCTTGTGAGCAGGGGGGCGGAATTCAGTGCAGTAAACCTGTTCTAGTGCACTGTTACAAAATACCAACAAAAAACCCTCAACAAAAAACCCCACAAAACCCCCCAAAAACCCACAAACAAACAAACAAAAAAACCCCAACAATTTAAGCTCTACTTAGAAATATTGGTGTGTGTTTGAAAATGCCTGCCTAGTCATATATGCTCTTAACATCTCCCCCAATCTGGTGGTGTTTATGTGCCTTTTAGGAATACATGCAGTTCCGTACAGTGGGCACCAAGACCAAGATCTGCAAGCTCACGCTCCGCTGGCCCTGCCCGATGACTTTTGCTGCCAAGGGCCGTCGCAAGGTGGAGGCAGAAAACAAAGCAGCGGCACTGGCATGTCAGAAGCTGAAGGTAAGCGCACGTGGCTCCTACGTCCCGTGTCTAATGCCTCTGTGAATAGAGGCTCCTTGCACCTGACTTACCGTATTTGAGCCTGATGGGGTGATGCCTGAAACTTTCTGATCTTTGACTTAATGCTTAATAAACATGTATTTCTGAACCTTAGGATTTGGTCCAAACTGCTGTTGTACCCCTCTAGTGTCTAATCTGTGGTGACCCCTCGAAGGCCATTGTGTTTCTTTTGAGCCCTCAACAAAGTGATGTGTAGGGATCGCGCCGGAAGCGTTAGCCTGTTCTCTTGGCCACCGTGCTGCTGTCTGCTAAGACAGACTGTCTTCCTGTTCTTGTAGCTGGACTAATCCAAACACATTGCTGCAATAGTTCTGCTGCAGACTCTCGAGTCGTCAGCAGAGGGGAAGTGCAGGACTTATTATTGAATTATCACAACATACCAGAACCGTAGCGAGAGAGTTACTGGCACTTGCAAGGGGGTTTGGCAGAGGCAGTTGTGGCTGCTGTTTCTTTGATGGGTCTGTTTAAGGCCTTCTTGCGAGTGTTGTGTTGGGGGCAGGTAGCAGTTGGCTCCAGTGCGTCCGTTTTACCAGAGTTAGGATGGCATCATGCCTTGTTTCTTCTTGTGGCAAAAGCAGAAAGTGGTGGATTTGGGATGTGGGGTAAGGAGTTGGCCCCACGTGCCCTGTGTTCCGGCACTTCGTATGCAGCAGTCTTGTGTCTGATGGTGGTGCTTGCCTCTTCCTTTGCAGAGCCTTGGCTTGGTGGACAAGAACAACAACCCCCTCAGCCACGCTATGTACAACATGACTTCACTCCGGGAGCTTGGTGAGAACCAGAGGAAACCCTGCCACATCAAAGTCCCTGAAGCAACCCTGCGGAAGATTGAGAACTATCTGAATCATGTAAGGCTTGCTCAGCTGTCTGAGAACCACCTTTGGCTGATCCCGTTTAGCTTCAGGAATTGCACGGGGGTTGAGAGCTTCATGTCAAAATGTTGAGGGAATTCATAGCTTGATAGTTTGCCACCAAAAACTGATCAGTCTCTGCTGACCTTTGGGGAAGGGAGACCCTTTCTGAGATGCGGGCCTTCTCTGTATGCACCTGTGACATTTGTCTGCGTTATTTGGCTTTTGGGATGTTATGGAGTGCAGTTTTGGCTTGCTTATAGTCTTGTTTGCAGGCTTACGAATGCTGCCTCGTGCAGGTTGGTTCCGTTAAACTCTGGTTGTGCCTCGTAGCTTTGCAAGGACCAGGTGCCGGTGCTTGCACATTTCCCTTGGTAGTGTCTCTTGCGGTGTTGTACCTTAGTGGTGGGTGCAGGTCCCCAGGCACCCGGTTTCACCCAGGAAATCCCGTTTCCTGGAGGACCAGTGGTGAACAGACACCCACGGGAGCTGAAGCGGTGCCGAGACAGGGTTGCTTAGGAGCATTCACTGTCAAAGCAGGAGTTAGTGCTGAGGTAAGATGAGGTTGAGCATAGCTTGGGTACAAATACATGTAGCTTATTGCAGTCATTGAAAATAATGCCCGTGTTTGGAAGTTGGCACGTCACTGATGCAGCGCTCTTGGGCCTGAGCAATAAAGATCTCGGGCGATCTTTACGGTATCTTAGAGATACTGCAAAGTAAATGAAGCAGTAGTGAATGTCCTAGAAAGCCAAGACTGTGCCTAAGACAGCGGCCGCTTCTGAATGGCCTGCTGAATGTGACTGAACGAAGGGCTAGAAAAGTTAGAAAAACAGCAGCATCTTGAAGGAACTTGGTCTGCCTCCCCTGCTTCCACGAACACGAGCTGTCACACCATGCGTGGAAGGGATGGCTTTGCGACTCTGAATAAGGCCAAATCCAAAAGTACTGATTTGTAGCTGAACTTTTAATCCTGCGAACATCTGGGCCAATGCTTCGATTTGTGTTCTAGGCAATTGCTGACATATTGTTGCTCCTTTTAGTTCTTCCTGTGGGAGATGGGACTTCTGTTTTTTCTTTTGCCAACATAGAATGTTTCTGGCTTAGCTGAACGTGTATGTTTTGTGCAAGTTACGTCTCTGGGCCTCCTGAGGGAGAGAAGGGTGGTGGTGTAACTTGATAGTTTCCGAAAGTTGTCTTTGAGGGGCTGTTGCATCACTTGCATGCGGTGTAGCCGCTGACTTGGGGAGCTTAAGTTACTGTTTTGTGCCTGTCAGTTCAGGCATCAACACTAATACCTCTCTTAAAATAGGGGATGCAATGAGGAAAACACAGGGAGCTGCCCAAGTTAATTGTCACTTTAAATAACCTCGATTCAGAATATAAGCAGCCAAGCGACATAAAATCTGACGAGACTTTGGTGGAGCTTCATGGTCACTGCAAAGCCAGACTGGCTGAGTCTGTTCCAGGCACTTGTTTCTTTCTGTCCTTCTCAGGACTGGTACTAATCTTTCTGTCCTGCCATCTTTCTCCGTCTCTCCCAGTATCCAGTGGACATCAGGGAATCCAGGCCACGGATTGCCGATGACATGATGAACCTGAGCAAGGAATCTGGTGCGATAAGTGATGCAATCACGGGGAAGACATATATACCCATGTTGGAAGCGGAGGAAGTGCGCCTTAGCCAGAATCTCCTGGCCCTCTGGAAAAGGAGGGGATCGTCGGGGCAGGAGAGCCACCCACTGCCAGTGGATCCCCACAAGGACACCATCCTATCAGCCATTGAGCAGAACCCTGTAGTGGTAATAGCAGGAGATACAGGCTGTGGGAAAACCACGAGGATCCCTCAGCTCCTGCTGGAACACTACATCCTGGAGGGACGTGGCGCCCGCTGCAACGTAGTGATCACCCAGCCGAGGAGGATCAGCGCCATCTCGGTCGCCCAGCGCGTGGCACAAGAGTTAGGTCCCAACATGAGGAAGAATGTGGGCTACCAGGTGCGGCTGGAGAGCAAGCCGCCCGCCCGGGGAGGAGCCCTGCTCTTCTGCACCGTGGGCATCCTGCTGCGGAAGCTGCAGGGGAACCCCAGCCTGGAGGGTGTCAGCCACGTCGTGGTCGATGAGGTCCACGAGCGAGACGTCAACACTGATTTCCTGCTCAGCCTGCTGAAGGGCATCCAGAAGCTCAACCCTGACCTGCGCCTGGTCTTAATGAGCGCCACAGGAGACAATCAGCGTTTCTCGCATTACTTTGGGGATTGCCCTGTGGTCAAGGTGCCGGGTTTCATGTACCCAGTGAAGGAGTACTATCTGGAGGAGATCTTGGCCAAGCTGGGCCGGCACCGACACCGGCACTACGAGATCAAGGTGGGTATGCAGCGTGGTGGTGAAGCTGTTTGCTTTGGCTGAGGCAGTGGCTTCTGGCAGATCAGCCAGGGAGAGTTTGGGCCTGGAACTGGTCCTTCTTTCCTGTGGTTGTTGGACAGCCTTTCCTTAGCTTTAATTCCACGTCAACCCTTGTGAGGTAAAGTCATCTTAGTAGAATCCTGGAGTATTTTGATTAAATTATGGATAAAAATTACTTCAGATTTGGGTCTAAGTTACTTTTGTCCCTCTTCAATGTGAAGTTTGTTTATGTTTGAGTCAGCTAACAGCTCACTGTAATTGTGTATGTATATTTGTAGATGCAGACTTGAATGTTTGCATTCTCTGTGCAAGCCTGGTCCAAGACTAGGATGGTTATGGCCTACAGCAGTCTGTTACCTAAGTGCTCACCGTCCTGCATGACTGAATTCCCTGATTGTTGCTTTTTGCAACTAGTCTTACTGTTTTTCTGGAGAATGCCCTCCAGGCACATACTCTTTCCTGTGGGTAATCTTAACTTCAGTTGTGGGTCATGGAGTCACAGAATCATTGAGGTTGGCCGGGACCTCTAGATGTTTTCTAGTCCAGCCTGCTGGACTAGAAGCTGTCAGCCCATTTCTCCAGGCTGTAGAGGTCCCTCCCTGTGGCTGAGCAACCATCTGCTGTATCAGCCACTTCTCCCAGTTTTCCATCACCAGCAGACTTGCTGAGGGTGTCCCATTGCCTTCAGGGCAATCTTCCTCTTTCTGTTGTGGCTGGGATTTTTACTTGCGCTTTTTAGGCTGGCCTGATAGGTATGTTCCAGATTACTGAGAGATAACAAAAGCTGCTGCTCTGTGCCTGGTGGATTTGAAGTCCCAGGTGGATATGGCACAGTTTTGTCCCCAAAAATTTCATGATAATTTTTGTTACTTGTTAGGTGCTGTTCAGTGGAGGTACACAAAACTCAGTTAGCTTCCAAGTCTGGAGAATGGGAAAGAGACTGTATATTCTCACTGCACAGCAGAGGAAACTGGCAGCAGTTGTGACCAGAGCAGGTTCCAGATGGAGCCAAAACCAGGCTCCTGAGGTTCCTGGCTCCTAGTCCTGGGCAGGCCATCCAAATACAGGCATTTGCTCTCCAGAAGATGTTCTGGGAGGCTGTGTGCCTTTCTGCTGCCTTTTAGATTGCCGCTCATTTATCTGCATTGTGTCCTCCTGTTTTATCCAGCAATCAGATGATGAATGCGTCCTTGATCTTGATCTGATCACCGACCTCGTACTCCAGATTGATGCCCACGGAGAACCAGGTAGGGTCTGCCTTGCCGCCTTGCTCTTTCCTTTTGCTGGGGCGGGGGGAAAAGTGAACCCTGCAGAGTCCAGACTCCTTGCAAAGAAAACATGATGCTGAGCTGACTTCTGCAGGGCCACCTTGAATTCCTGTGGAATTGAGCGGTCTCGAGCAGTGTGGCATGAGCTAATTCTGAGTCTTTGGCTAGGACAACGTCAGAGTCCTCAGTGTCTCAGTCTCGGTGTCCTGTGATACGGCTGCTCCTGGGGTGAAGGGCAAGACTTGTCTGTGCTCCAGCATTTGCAACCTTGTGCTGCACAATTTAATTATTTTTCTGTATTGGAGCCCCATCCCTGTTAAGTATCTTTGCCTGGGACATGATGTTTTTGTGAAGAAGGCAAGACTGTCGGATGAATTCTAAGAGTTTTAAGTGCTTCAGAGCTAGTAGAAGGTATTTGCTCTCAAACTACAGGCAGCCTGGTTTCTTTCTGGCTTTAAAACCTTGCCGTAACGAGCTCACGGAAGCAGATACAGCATATGAAGTCTAGACGAACGTTCCCCTGGGTCTGACTTCCCATAATGGCTGTATCTGTCATTTGTTCATGATAAGTGTGATGCAGGTTTCCTTAGCAATCGGCTGGCAGGGGGCATCACAGACCAGGGCCCTGCTTTTGTTTGGGTTTCTTGGGCTAAAGGTTGCTGTGGACTTGGGGAAATAACGGCTCTTCTTTCTGTGCAGCAGAAGCAGCTTCTGTGTCTCCAGTGGGGCAAAAGTGCTTGGATTTCTAGGTCACTTGTTCTTAACTCTTGCTCTATTTCAGGCGGGATCCTCTGCTTCCTCCCTGGTTGGCAGGAAATCAAAGGAGTGCAGCAGCGCCTGCTAGAGATGCTGGGATCTCAGAACAGCCGGTACCTCGTCTTACCAGGTGAGATGGCAGTGCCAGACCTTTTCTCCCCAGGATTCGGGAGAACGGACAGGCCAATTGACTTGATGGGCCCCTTCAGCTGTTGCGCTCTGGTACAGAGCAAGCTTGTACGCTCTGATGTACGTACCTGTTGTGTAATTGTGCGTGTTAAACACGAATAACTCCTCCTAGCAGAGGCCATCCAAACCTGTGTGTGATCAAAGAAACTGGCTTCCTGTTTGCCTTCAGCGATTCAGAATTAGGCAAGGAGGAAATGGCTACACTCTGCATTGCTGTAGCTGCATGCTGAGCCTACGTAGAAAAGATCTTCAAGCCCTGTTCTGTGGGATGGCGATGAACGCTGTAGCTCAGCTTTGATCAGTGAATGTAACGTTCTCTATCCCAGCAGGGTAATCTATTACAAAAGCTGGTATTACTCTGCAAGGCTGCAAGATTTGGGGGGTTGGTTTGTTTGGGGTTTTTTGTTTGTTTTTTAATGGTCCTCCCTACTCAGTGTCAAATAAGGCCGGCCAGGAGCCCAACTTTGAGCAGCTCAGTTGCTAATAAATGCAGGTGGTGTTTTGTGAAAACTGCATGTTCTTGTGCTCCCCTGCTGTTCTGCACGGTTGCTGGGAATTTCTCTGCATCACTGATCTGTAATAGGGCAAATAGGTGATACAGAAGAGTTACAGGCCCTTGCTGATAACCATTTTTGACCAAGTGAAACCAAGTGACAGCAAGGATACCCCATTCCCCTGCCCCATAGGTCTTCGGAAAGGGGGAGCTGCAGAACTGGACGGTGGGAGGGTGTGGGACTTCTGCTTGGGGCCCAGGGATATTCTGGTGGTGCCACTAGGCTCTCTGGGATGGGGGGTGATCGGAGCTCCTGCTGGTGATGAGCCACAGGTTGAAGCAACTGAAATGAGGCCTTTCCTAATGATATGTGGAAGATTTTTCTTGGGGTCTGGCTGGCAGGAAACTGCTGACAATGACCATCAGTATTACAGGTGGTGTCCCCATCCCTGTCCCTTATTTCTGGAAGCGAGAGGTGATGGTATAAGAGGGCTGAGAATCTCTGCCCACCCTGGCCTTGTACTGCAAAGCAGCTCAGCAGGGCAGGACTGATTGTTCTTTATCTCCTAGTGCACTCCAACATCCCCATGATGGACCAGCAAAACATCTTCCAGCGGCCTCCACCCGGCGTCAGGAAGATCGTCCTGGCCACCAACATCGCTGAGACCTCCATCACCATCAATGACATCGTCCACGTGGTGGACAGTGGCACGCACAAGGAGGAACGCTACGATCTAAAGACCAAGGTACTGATGCTTTCTCGCCTCTAAGTGCATTTGGGATGTACTGGAGCTAATGGATGCTTTCGGAGCACCATTTGAGATGCCATTAACGGGATGATAGAGCTGCTTCCCATTTGGCCCTTGGGGCACTGGCACTGTGTCCCTGTTTGGGGACAGAGTGTTCGACTCGTCAGTCAGAGAGAGTTTGCCTTTGCCCAGCTCCCTGCCAGGCTCCCCATCGACTTCTGCTGAACAGGCAAAAATCTGATGTCTTCAAAGAAGTTTAAGGCAAATCCTGCTCCCTTCCCATCTCTCTTACACCGTCTAACATCTGTAGCTTTTCCATTTGCTTTCTGCCTTTTTAATCATAGAATTGTTTAGGTTGGAAAAGACCTTTAAGATCATCCAGTCCAACCGTTAACCTCACACTACCAAGTCCACCATTAAACCCATTAAGGGTAGAGTAATAATTAATTTCATGTTTCCTGGCTGAGTGGCTGGATTATTTTTTAATGCAAGTAAAACTGGGAATCATTAAGGTTGGAAAGGCCCTCTAAGATCATCAGTCCAACCATCACCCCAACACCCCCATGCCCACTAAACCATGGCCCAAAGTGCCACCTCTGCCCGTTTGTTGAACCCCTCCAGGGCTGGGGACTCCCCCACCTCTCTGGGCAGCCTGTTCCAATGCTTGACTTCCCCATCATCTCTGGAGAAATGTCTCCCAATATCCAACCTAAACCTCCCCTGGCGCAGCTTGAGGCCATTTCCTCTCCTCCTGTTGCTGGTTCCTTGGGAGGAGACACCTATGATTTAATCATAAGCTGCTCTTGTTTGAAGCTGTCCTGACCCCACTGCCTTCGCTTGTTAGTCAGCTTTAAGGGCGGGCGGGTTTATGCTGCTCTCGGGCCACGTTTCTGGCGGTGTCGGGCCCTGCAGAGGCTCTTGTAACGCATTTTTGTAACAACGTGAAGGCAGCTGTGTCACTGTTGCTCTTGGAAGAAGGGATTCTGGCTATACACTGCTGCCCCTTCCCCTCCCTGTGCTAGAATGGCCTTACGGGGCCAGGTGGCGATTCACACCTTGGAACCGTTCTCGTTTCAAACCAACCCTTTTATATTTGCCCAGTTTTAACGCAGTTCATCTCGCAGTGCGGACCCTGCCTGTGCCAGCACGCAGCAGGACTGGCATGGGGGAGGCGGGGACCGCGCTTCGCTGGCAGCCCCTGGGGAGCGTGGTGACGTGGAGCCAGGGCAGGTGCCCAGCAGATGGCATCAGGGTCTCACCCGTGCGCCAAGCCGCTCAGCCTTCACGCTGCTGCTTGCTAGAGACAGGCACCGCAAGATGCGCGAGGGTGGGAAAGGCTTCCCTTGCCCTTTAGTGGGATGGTTGATGAGTCGTGAGGAGTTTCTGAGGTCTGTGGACCGGATGGCAGGCTGCATTTAAACAGGACGGAGAGCCGTGAGAGCATTCGTGCCTAATCCTTCTTCTCCTAGGTGTCCTGCCTGGAAACGGTGTGGGTGTCCAAGTCAAACGTGGTGCAGAGGCGAGGGCGTGCTGGCCGCTGTCAGTCAGGATTTGCCTATCACCTCTTCCCTCGCAGCCGCCTGGACAAAATGCCAACTTACCAGGTTCCAGAGATCCTACGCACCCCACTGGAGAACCTGGTGGTTCAGGCCAAGATCCACATGCCAGAGAAAACGGTAAGCACAGTACCTGCCTGCAGCACTGCAGCCAACTGAACCAGCAGGATGCGGCGTGATTTGACCGCAAACATGAGCAGGAAAAACCTAAGATGCTGATGACTTTAGTTCTGGCTTTCCTAAATGCGGTGCTGTCTAGGGAAGTTAAGACCAGGAAATGTATAGATTACTTAGATTACAGAGTATGTCTAAAGGAATGGAGAGGGCTGAGCTCATATCCCTGTAGGCAAACAAAGAGGGAACCGTGTTGCAGTCTGGGGCCCTGGGGCGGGCCAGTGGCTCCCCAGGGCTCTCCCACGCTCCTGTATGGGAAACATGCCCTTTTTTTTTTTTT